CGCGTGCGAGTGATGTGTGTGTGTGCGTGATGTGTGTGCGTGTGATGTGTGTGTGTGTGTGCGAGTGATGTGTGTGTGTGCGAGTGATGTTATTCATATTGATGATGTTATAAAAAAAAATATTTTATTTTTGATACAAGAAATCTTGACCAACATTTTAAGTGATCTTATTAATAATATTTACCTACACCTTAATAATAATACAAGATTTTCTACATAAGTACAAAATGTCCCTTTTAAGAGCAAGTGTCACGTTTTATATCAAGTCCATAATTAAATTATACAGATAGTGGTGTTCTATTTGCAAAAGAATGAGATGTGTCCTGCTCTCTGACAGTGGATAGGAGTCATATTCGTGTAATAAAGCGATGTGTGTTCTTACCTTGCTGTAGTAGAGAATGTGACAAACATCTCTAATAATGTTGGGAAGCTCGACTATCTTCTCTCTGCACTCCTCGAACTGAGCAGCGACGCTATAGCACCTGCAGACGTGCCCGCACACCTGAAGAACACCCACAATGCACCGATAGCATGAGCTCACTGAGCTTCCTCGAAGCGCCGCTCTCTCTCACATGTGTGTTTGTGCTGATGTACCTGCACTGCCATGTCCTCCGGTCTGCTGGAGGCGGTGAGCACAGACACGCAGCGAGACAGAGCCTCCATCAGCACCTGACACACAACACACAAGCCTCATCAACACTCAGCAGACAGTGAAGAGCCACAGTGTGACTGCTGCTGGTAATGTCAACACATGCTGACCTCGATGCCGTTCTCCCGCCGCAGCTCCTCCGCATTCAGCGCTGAACAGTTGACGGTGTGGAAGGCCAGCTCAGCAGCAGCAGGTAATAGAGCCGAGGTCTTGGAGAACAGCTGCCCATCACCCGTCTCCATGGTGATGGTCTTAATTAGCATGGGGTAGCCGGCGTATTTATACGGCTCCAGTTCTGAGGAGAGAGAGAAGGAGATCAGTCTCTGAGCGTCTGGAGATCAGGAGCTATCTGAGAGGAGCGTGTCGAACCCTGCTTGTGTCTGTTGAACAGGATGCTCTGGGCTTTGAGGATCAGGATGATGTTCTCTGGGTCAGGACCGTCCACAATACGGGCCGATTTGGTGCACAGGAACTCGTAGGCCTTGTTGACCTTCTCAAACATGTCCTGAACACACACACACACACACACATCGAGACTGGTTAGAGTTTATTATTCATTCACTCATAATGAGACGCAGTGTTGCTGTACTTACCCTGCCCTCCGGATTCTTGTCTGGATGGTATTTCTGGGCCAATCTGAAATACGCTTTCCTTATCTTACTCTCATCATGCCTTTAAAAGCACACACACAAATCATCAAAGGACAAAGATTACAGTTAATAAGCACTATTCTCAGATGCTACAGTGTCACATAAGAAGCTGTGAGAACAGAGGTTAAGCAATCAAAAAAATTAGTGATATACAAATAAAAGTTTAATAGGTACAGAAGGAAAAAAAGTTTTTTTGATTCTTAAGAGTCAGAATGGAATGAAATGGTCATGTGACACTAAACTATCACTGGTTTTGGTGCAGGCATTTACGCTAACAAGTATAAATGACATACTATTAAATGCTGATTCTGGAGCCTCGTCGATCCTAATGTTATTGGACCTGAGTGCGACCTTCGACACTGTTGATCATAATATTTTGGTTTCTTGGCTGGAAAACCATGTTGGAATTCGTGGGATTCCTCTTAAATGGTTTAAGTCGTATCTAGCAGATAGAAGCTTTGGGGTAAAATTGGGCGAATGTATGTCAGTATCAGCTCTACTAAAGTGTGGAGTTCCTCAAGGCTCTATTCTCGCCCCCCTTCTGTTCTCACTGTGCCTTCTCCCTTTAGGAACTATATTTAGGAAACACGGAGTTTCGTTTAATTGCTATGCCGATGATACGCAGATTTATCTGCCACTTCGAAAAGACAACTGGTCTGGTATGAGCTCGCTTTTGAACTGCTTAACTGACATCAAGTACGGGATGGCGTTAAACTTTTTAAAATTCAATGAAAATAAAACTGAGATTAATGTTTTTTGGTCCAGTCAGCAATCAAACTAGTACAAATTCTATTCTTGGCTCCTTGGCTAAGCATAATAAAGCAGTGGTGAAAAATCTAGGTGTATTTTTGACTCAGAGTTTAAATTTGAAAGCAAATAAATTCGGTGGCCAAATCTTGCTTTTTAATTTGAGACTTTTAGCAAAGATGAAGCCCTTTCTTTCTTTTAGAGACTTAGAGATAGTTATTCACGACTTTATTTTCTCATGCTTAGACTATTGTAGTCCTCTCTATATGGGAGTTGGCCAGAAAGCTCTGGCACATCTACAGGCAGCTCAACATGTGGCTGTGAGATATTACTCCTATCCTGTCTTCTCTGAAATGGTTGCCCGTCCGTCTCCGAATTGAATATAAACTTTTATTGTTTGTTTTTAATCTCTGAATGGGTGGACATTAGTGAACCGGCATTCCTCTGTTAGGCCCCTGAGATCATCTGTCCTGCTTCGTTTAGTGGTTCCCAGATCTAGATTAAAACTTTGTGGGGATCGTGCTTTCTCAGTCGCTGCCCCCAAACCTTGGAACTCATTGCCCTTTTGGATCAGATCTGCTCAGACCATCTCTAGTTTTAAATTTCTGTTCAAAGCTCATTTATTAACTGTGGCTTTTAATTCCTCGGCCGATTAATTCTCAGATGTGTATTTGTCTTGTGTTTTTATGCTATCCTTGATTTATGTCTATGCCCAGTCTTATTATTTTATTTTCTTTGATGTACAGCTAGCTACAGTAAGTTTCCTACTTATATATATAAATATTAAATATTTATATAAATACTAATATTAAATATTTATATATAAATATTGTCCTAACAAACCATACATCAATGGAAAGCTTATTTATTCAGTTTTCAGATGATGCATAAATCTCAATTTCGAAAACTTGACCCTTATGACTGGTTTTGTGGTCCAGGGTCACATATAATAAATACAAATACAACTAATGTAAAAATAAAGTACTAAAAAAGTGAGCTCTTTTGTCTTTAACAGCAAGAGCGTGTCGGACTCACTGTCCCTGTCCTTTAGGGAGGTTCAGCACTTCATAGGCGTCATCCACAGACATGGAGGGCGGCTTCTTCTCCACCTCTCTCTTCCAGGCGTCCAGAGTGTCCTTCAGCAGCTTCACCTGCAGAGCACAGACCATCACAGAAGGCCTTCGCATCACACAAGAAAGCAGGCTCTGAATGTGTCTGTAGATGTGTGTACCGGGTCTCGTATGGACCAGTCGGGGAAGCGGCTGGAGTCACACAGGTGCCGCAGGTAATAGATGTTGCAGAAGAGCTCGTTGTCCAGTTGAGGGAAGCTGACCACAGGAATGGGACAATACTGATAGAGAGCGCGAGTGTTACTCTGCAGACGAGGACTGAAGTCTGCCAGATGAGCGGCGATCTTCTCGATCATCAGACGCCTGTCAACACACACCACAATCAACCAGCATGAAGGAGCAGGTCTTCTGTGCTAATTCACGTTTACCTTTGGGTTAGCATAGTTAAATAAAACCTTAAAGAACATGTTTGTTGTTGGAATACAATTAATGTTAACAGAAAAAATACTCACCTAGTCAACATGGCAATTTTTGTCATTTTCATTTAGTTTAATTTGATGTACTAAAATAACTAAAACTGAAACAAAAATTATATAGACATTTAAAAACAACAAAAATGAATAAAAATGTTTTAGCTAAACTGAAAGCAGAAAGTATAAAATAAAATCTAATTCAAAGTATTAACAAAACCTATAATAGTATCTCAAGGATACTAATAACACAGGTTTACCCATCTAAAATCTCTTTAATTTTCAGAGAAACAAAGTAAAAAAGTCAAATATATTTTAAAAATATATTTTAGTTAATTTTTATATATTTTTTTATAATTGAAATATTACTTTAGGTTTTAGTTTTAGTTTTAGTATTTAGCATTCATAAAGACAAATTCAAGTGGAACAAAACACATATGAACCATAAAAATACACACAGAAATACAAAAACACCTCTAGATCCACAGAAGTCTAGATGTTTGCCTCATCTCACTTCTCAATTTCAATTACTTTAACTTAATGTACTAAAATAACTAAAATTGAAATAAATTAATAGAAACTGTATATAACTAATAAAAAAATGACAAACAACAAAATTACTAAAACTTTACCTAAAATTAACACGAAAGCCAAAAACATGAAAATAAAATCTAATTTAAAATATTAACCAAAACTATAATAGTAATAGTAACCAAAAATATGTCATTTAAACCTTTTTTAAATACAGTTTCCTATTTTAAATACAGTTTCAATTTTTAGTGTTTAGCGTTCATCAAGACAAATTCAAGTGGTACGAAACCCATAAATCCTGGACCCACAGCACAGGAGTTCTGGAGCGAGGAACGAGAAGCTGACCTCATCTCACTGCTCCAGATGGCTTCAGGCGTGTCAAACTCTCCCAAGAATATCTCGGAGAAGCGCTCGGCCTCGTAGTTCTCCAGGTAACACACCATGGCCTCCGGCAGCATCGAGCCCAACACGCTCCTCTGAACGATGTCCTGACCTTTAGCCTGCGGGTCATCACAGACAACACAGATCAAACCTGCTCAGATTTACTGTGCTATTCATCTACAGATGCACAATATCTGCAGCTTTACCTCCTCTGATTTAAAGGCCTGCTTCAGGTGAGTGTATTTCAAGAGCCTACAGAGAAGAAAATATTTACGCATATGGCAAGCTATCGTAACATAAATGTCATAAATGTAATTTCTCTGCAGCACATAATCAGGATTGAAACTGTGCTGCCAGAGGACACAGAGCTGAGTTCTCATGGCCTGAGATGCAGGGAGAGTACCGTGCCACGGGCAGCACATTGGAGCCGGTGTACATCATGATGAAGAAGAAAACTCCGGTGAGGTAGAGCCGCTGCAGGTTAGGGTTGTCCTGCATCACCAGGTACAGCAGGTTAGCTACTTTCTCCACCAGGATGGGGTCAAAGGTCAAGAGCAGCTGAAGGACAGGAGAAGGAACACTGGAGTCAAGCTGATGAACCCCGCCTTTATAAACACTGTTTTACACAGAGCTAGTGATGTGTACCTGGACGATGTGCGGCAGGCAGGTGCTGTCACTGATGAGTCTCTTCACCTTTGGTAAAGGCCTGATAATGGCATTATCTTGGTCCCTAAACACACAGACACAGTGAGTATTATTATTTAGAAGACAGAAAAAAATGCATGTTTAAACATATTTCAACGCATGAAGATGTCTAAATGTCTTTGCTTAGGAAATGATCAGATGATTCTAGACCTTTTTCTTCTGAAGTAGAAGTTTTCACACACTTTTGCATTTATTTTTTGCCACTTGTAATATTTTGTTATTTAACGCAATGGCATTCATATGGAATCCTGTTTCTACCACTGGATAAAAAAATTAAAAAAAAGGTATTTTTTATCTTGCTTGCACAATATAAAACAGTTTGGAATTGTGACATAAAAAGTTGCAACTGCCTTTTTGATTTTTTGAAGAAGAAAAAAAAAAGAAAGAAAAAAAAACAGAATTGCGAGTTGAGTTTATATCTCACAATTCTGACTTTTTTCTCAGAATTGCAGGAAAAAAGCCAGATTTATAAAGATACAGTCAAACCAAAATTTATTCAGACGCCTTCAACATTTCTCACATTATCACAGTTTATTCGCTATAGTTTAGAAAATGGTAATAAAATATGACAAGAACTGTCAGAATAAATTCATCTTGATAATGTCAGATAACTTTGATAGAAAGGTATGTAATGAATTCTGCTGTTAAATTTAAGAACACAATTAGATAATACCAATTTAGCTCAACCAATTACATAGCCTTGCTTAATTTAGTTCAGTCTGTGGTGTAAAAAGATCACATTAGAAATGAAAGAAAACACAGAGGCAAAACATGCTCAGGTCAAAGTGTCAGAATAATTTTCGGTCCTAAATTTTTGGGTATGTCACAGTTTATTTATTTTGCTATCCTCGCTTACATAGACGAACTATAGTGTCCTGCTACTAGTAAAACAATATCTGGTGTCGTGGTTTGACTGTAAAAGGCGCACTGTGCGTGTCCTGTGGATGCAGCTGTGAGAGCGAGGCTGTACCGGCTGGGGAAGTAGGAGCACATGGTGATGAGCATGTTGAGGATGAGCGTGGCCAGATCCGTCTCGTTCATCACGGCCTGTCCTGCGGCCAGCAGACTCCACTTCAGCTGTGGGATAGCCTGCAGCGGCCGCCAGCCGTCCATGCCCTGAGCCCAGCAGCGTGTCTTAGCCGTCAGCGTCCCGGTGCTCCAGAACTCCTGCATCTGAGCACACAGAAGAAGAGCTTCAAGCCCGGATCACCTGCACATGCTCCAGCTGCGGTGTGAACACGCTCACCTCCTCAAAGCCGAAAGGCCCTCGCCTCTCTTTATCTGCGTTCCCGAAGTACCACTCCTTCTCGCTCTCACGCTTCATGTCTGGAGAAGCCTCCAACACATTACTCTGAAAACAACACACAGACCCATGAACAGAGACTTTAACATCCACATTACACACATCATAAACATACCACTGTTTAAAAGAAGTCTCTTCTGCTCAGCAAGGCTGCATTTATTTGATCAAAAATAAAGTAAAAACAGTGAAATATTATTACAGTGTAGCACAGCTGTCTTCTATGTGAATCTCTGTTAAACTGTAATGTATTTCTGTGATGTGCAGCTGTATTTTCAGCATCATTACTCCAGTCTTCAGTGTCACATGATCTTCAGAAATCATTCTAATATACTGATTTGCTGCTCAACAAACATTTCTGATTATTATCAATGTTGAAAACAGTTGTGCTGCACAATATTTTTGTGGAAACTGTGATCAATTTAATTTTTCAGGATTCACAGATGAATAGAAAGTTCAAAAGAACAGCATTTATTTGAAATAGAAATCTACTTAACATTATAAATGTTTTTTCTGTCACTTCTGATGAGTTTAATGCATCCATGATGAATAAAGTGTTAATGTATTTAAAACAAATGTATATTTTGAGCACACACCTGCAGCGGGACAGTGGCTCTGTTGGTGTGAAGGTGAGCGAGGGTGAGCAGATCCACTAGTATACGCACTCCGTTAGAGTCCATCATATCCTTCACATTTTTCTGTTTGAACAGGAATAGCAAAATCATAAAAGTGTTTCCAAGACACGCGTGTCTCACGGTGTATGTGGAGGGCCTGACATGTCACTCACCTTGTTGAGTATGAGTTTGTTGAGGAAGAGGATGAGTCTGTCTCTCTCCAGCTTTTCTGTACACTGGAGACATACAGCAGCAAAAGCATGAGATTACAACACACTGGTTCTAGTGACGTATGATTCAGAGAAGGACTGATGCACCATAACATGAGGAACCGCAGCAGTTTTAACTTCAAGCCATGTGCTTTCAGTTCTGTGATCTAGCGCTGGACACTGACCCGGTCCAGCATGCCCACGATGTACTTGGTGTCAGCAAACGGTCCGATCTCCTCGCAGCACTTCCCGTAGACGATGGTGAGCGCCTGCAGACACAAACACTTCATGGCCACTTTAGGAGTCAGCAGGAAGCGATGGTAGAGCTCGTTAAAGAACTCGTACCTAGAGAACAACACAGACGGATGATCAGGATACTGCTAACGAGATGCACACGGTTCAGCGTCTGTGTTCAGAAACCTACGATCTCTTGATGGCTCCAGACTCCTCGCTCTCATCCTCCTCCAGCAGCAGACGCAGGTAATAATCCCCGATCTTGATCTCGTCAGAGAGGCACTCGTACTTCACCTGAACACAACCCAACAGGCTTCATATGCTTTTGAATGAGCAGATCTCGCTGTGATTCTCAGGCTATATACTACTGTTGTCAACAATACAGAAGTTTAAAAACAAGGCTTTGTGTAAGGAATTTACTATGTTTCTGTCTTAGTTAATACTTTTATTATTATTAGAGGTGTAGCGGTACACAAACATGATGGCTCAGTGCATAACTCGGTTTTGACATCACAGTTTGGTATAGTTTCGGTACAGCAGGAGGAAAAAACTAAACATTATTGCTTCTTTTTACTTAAACAATGGTTTACTGAACAAATTGTGCTTTATTTAAATAAATTCAATCATAATTAAAATTTTCTTAGGGATAAAAATCTACCTCAGCTTCTGCTCTGAACTATAGGGAGCCCTTTTACATTACTATAAGGTTACAATTACAACAGAGCCCAAGCTTAAATTCAGTTAATACTTATTTTTAACTATACTAATAAACACTAAAATTAAAAAAACTGTATGCAAACATGTTTTTAAATTAACTTCTAAATTACACAATCTCTATTTATTGTTCAAATATAATAATTTACAGAGTGGCTGTCGCAACTTGTCTCATAAAAGATTTATTTAAGCATACATTAAATAATTAAGACATCACTAACAGGTAAAGTAAAATATAATGAAGTATAGTCTAATATTTCGCAAAATGCTCTTCACTAGACTAGAAAATATTTCTCGAGCTGTGGCCACTGATGACTTGCCTGAGGTGAATTAATTGCTACGTGACATTTTGTTTACAAGTTGTTTTAATGACGTCTTTCTGCGGCTGAAACGCTAACTGAGTGATTATATGAGGGGTGAGATGTTCATTCATGTTTATTTCGTGTTAAAGCTAGTTAGTAATAAAGAGGAAGGGATGATCGCGCTCCACGCTGCCGTTAGAACCGAGACGATCGACAAAATAACATTTATTGTCTGAATTTGCTGAAATAATGGAACGATTTGTTCGGTACACTCCATACCGAAGCGAAAGGTTTTCTAAATGCCCTCAATGCCGTGGCAGTTTTTCTCTGTGGTATCAAAACTGGTGTTAAATATCTGTACTTCTCAGCGTATCGTGTGGAGTTAGATCTCCCAGTATTGTTTTCAGACCGCTGCAGAGTCACTGATGTGAAGCGCAGACCTCGAACTCCTGGTGGTTCCAGGAGACGACGCTAGCGCTGCCGAGCTCGCGGTCCACACCGAAGGAGCGCATCTCTGCCTCCAGAGCGTCCCGCAGCTCCTCGCGAGTCTTCAGGTTCCAGATCAGGTTAGAGCGAGCGTGATCCAGCTGGAACCTGCACACAAGCACGAGCGTCACACACTCTGATAAACCCACGCACAGAACTCACATTCATTAAAGCAGCTCGTTTACTTGTAGTAGAAAAGCTCCCAGTTGGACTCGATCTTGATCCGCTGCCGTCTCTTCCTCAGGATGACCGGCCTCTGGTTTGCGTTCTGCAATCAGTGACAGAGAAGGAATCAAGCGGCTCTCGGTCTTTCTCTACAGCATGTTCTGCATTTTCTGAATATAACGCTGGTTTATGAGACAACTACATCTATTATGGGATGTAAGGATAATGCTGACGACACCAGAGCTGTGAAATGATCAACACGTGATATGAAAAAACTGAAGAGAGACATGCCAACTGATCTAATACAGTCAGTGTGCAACAGCTACGAGACACCAGAACGAAAACACACACGTGTTACATGAGACAGAGTGACTGACATGAGAAAGGGAGGGGCTAACAGAGAGAGAGGCTCTGATTGGATAAAACTACTCACCAGGTTATTCCTGTCCTGCTGCATTGATTGACAGCAGAAACCACAATAAGAGCCGATGGGGGGGCAGAGATAAGAGAGGTTATTGGTCCTGAGGTCAACCAATCACACTTTAACGAACACTGTGAGAATCTCAATGAAGCTGGCTTTTGGTGGCAGGAACGTGAATTTGCGTGATTGGAGGCTCAAGAGCGAAGAAACGATGATGATGATGATTGTGTAGCTCATGCTCATGACACCAAAGCTGTGCCTTCATCTGCAGCTCATGCTTCAAATCATAATTCAGCTTGGGTTTAAGATGGGGATTAGATGACATCAATAGATGCAAGATGCATGTAAGTTTTGTTCAACACTCTGATCAAGTTTAGGTGTTTATTATTGTTTTGGTGGAGATTTCCTTATTTATCAATAACAGTCGATATTTAATTGTTCATGCACATTTCCAGTGTTTTTACATTTAAATTACATTTGGTATCATCTAATGCTCACTTAAAGTTAGTCTTTAGAAAACACTAATAATTCAATAACACAGCACAATTTAATTTTTAGAAAATCTCAAAATGAATAATTTTTTTATCGTATATTATGTTGTGACACTCATACGACATGAAAATACATGATCAGCATATCGGCAATAGCTAGAATTTCATCCATTTGCATTTACTTGAACCTTTTTTAGCTGTGAAATGAGGGGCAGTGCTATCAGATACAGAAACAGGCACAGTGATGGTCTGCAAATGTTTAGCTGGCTATGAGGATCATTAGATCATGTTTATTATTAGTAAAGAGCAGAGACAGAAGATTAGAGAAACCCAACAGAGCCTGTATTGAAAGTTCATCACACATAAAAACACAAAGCATAAAGATGAGCTGTCTGAACAGCATCCAAACCAGACCAGCAACATGAGAAACCAGCAGCTCCAGCAGCACTAGCTCAATAATAGGGATGCAACGATAGCAATCTCACAATACAATAATATCCAGATATGAAGTCCACGATACGATATTTATTGCGATATTTATAAAAAAAAAAAAAAGACAAATGAAGAATGGGTACATTTTGTACATTTTGAAAAATTTTGTACATTTTAAAGTTAAATTCTTCTATCTAATGCACTTTAAGAGTTCAAAATTAAGAGCTGCAACCCATGTTCTTAACTAAGAAAACTGGAGTCAGAAGAAAGTCAGTGAATTGACTCGTACCTGAACTTTAAATTGGACTCAACTCTTTTTATTTGTGATGTAGTGTCTCAGTCTAAGTTACATTCACACTGGTATTTTAGGAAGCCAAACAAATTAGAATATGATAATAATAATAACAACAACAATGACTGTAATAGTCATATATTGTAAAACAATTGCACTGTAAAAAAAATGAAAATGAATATTTCATAGGTATATTTTTACAGTAGGGAAATTACAATACTTCTTTCCTAATTTCTACACTTGAAAGAGATATTTTGAATCTGGACTGCATTTAAACCGCTAGCTGTCAGAAATTCATATACTGCACTTTTGATGGAAACGGCAGCAGAGCTTTTATTTTGAAGGAAAACTCCAGCTTCAGTGAAAACATGCTTACAAAAATGTGTCTCACTACAAATCTAGTGAAACGCTGTCATCATCTGCCGTGAAAATAAAGCATAACTGGTGTCGGTTGCGTCCCCAATCGTGCGCTAAACTCGCAGCACGTGAAATAAAGGAGTGGACTGCATTCATTCAGTGTGAACGAGCCGATCTGAGACGCGGAAAACACCGGATCACGAGCTGATCGCATGAACGAAGTGTGTGCTTCGCTTTGAAACAGACTTGACGAAGACATTGAGCATATTGTGCTTTCAGTTTTAGTTTACTGTGCCAAAGCATAATGGCCCAAAACACAACTTTTTATGTTAGAATAAGAAGTTTAAATATATTTGAAAAACTACACTTTTTGCTCGGAACAACTATCATACTATAGCATATCGTCATGTGACCACGATAATATCAAGACAGTTTTGCTATGGCGATATCATGATATTGATAATATCGTTGCATCCCATTCCCTACTCAATAACTCCTCGAGCAGCAGTACTAACAGCACTCACCTCCTTCTGAGCGATGCCCATCTTATCTCTCCAGTGCAGCAGCACGATGTCAGCCTTCTCTTTGGCGAACTTCTCCACCTCTTTAGCAGCTTTACCCGCGATACGCTGCCACTCCGGGACTTTATTCCTGCCAAACTGGTCCTGCAAAAAAAACTATCATTAATGGATTGATATGGATTAAAGGTTGAAATGGGTCCTACAGTCCAAATTCTAAATCTTGGAGAGTAGGTTCTCCTTCTCTGACTCGACGCTCACGCGGGTTGCCAGATTGAGAACACGCAACAGGAACGAGCGTAGCTTACACTGTAAACAGATGAGTTCATTGATCTGTGTTTAATATTCCTCTGGTCATAGAGGTTTTTAGATGGATTGGACGCTGAGGCTTTCAGATCACGTAGAACCATTTGATGGCTTCCATGGCTGCAATATGCTGTGTTTTCCAAACCAGGGAGTCGAAACAGACCAAAACAAAAACAGATGTTCCGACACGGAACACGCATTTCAAAGTAACTAGCTATAGAAACAAGTATGTGAACTTACCACGTTTCCTAAATATCTATAAACATATTATGGTATTTTTATGCTTAAATACAGACAGATTTTGGGCTGTTTAGCTGTTCATATAGTTTTGTTTTTTTTGTTCACACTACTAGAAGGAAAACATTTTTATACGCATTTTTTAAATACACAAGTGTTTATTTTATTGCACTTTATCTATTTGCGTCTGTAGATCTTTAAAGAGTTTTTTTTCTTACATACACCAAACTTTAGAGTTTTATTGAGGGGTTTGTTTATATATCATTCACACTGATTTATACAACATGCATAAAATGTATTTGTTTTCTGTCTGTTGACTGTTTTTTGGATTTATGGAGTGATAAAAACAAGAATTACTGAGCCTGGCTTTATCCAATGTACAGATTTCTGTTCTGGAAATGAATGTAAATGAGAGCATATTTAATTTAATTGTCATATTTAAACAACATTTCAGAAATCCTGTAATGCATAAAATGTTTGCAATTCTTAATGTAATCAATAATTTGAATTCTGGTGAGATCTGTTAGTTAAATGTTTACTTTATTCATCCCATTGCTTTAAGAGATGTGAGAGTGAGAGTGCTGGTGGCTCGTACCGTGGCGATCTTGACGTTGTCACGTATGTGCATTCTGTCCATGTCCTTCTCAGGCACGGGGTCAGAGCTGTCCAGATACGCCAGCAGACCGGTGGGCTAAAGGACAGACAATGATTGAGGATTTCAGTGTTGTTTCTAGAAGAAAAGCACTCGTGAATGTCCAGTCTGCTCACCAGGATCCTCTTGAGCAGGTTCAGGGCCGTGGAGTTTTCTGCGGTCCACAAACCCACCAGATGACGACTCAGCTGCCTGCGTGTGAGAAGACAGTGATCAGGCCTGCGTTACAGTGTGAGATGGTCAGTCTGAGCTGAACTGACCTGTTGGTGAGCATCCGCTGGTCAGCGCTGATGGTGAACATGGAGGTGTGCAGGTGTCTGGGAAGAGCTCCTTCACTCAGAGCCAGCTCCTGCATCTTACTAGCGATCTCCTTATCTCCCTCCTAACAGACGACACGCTCGGATCAGACACAGAGAGAAACACACAGACACACTGGAGGAACAAGGGCAGGACTCACCTCAATGATGGCCTTCATGATCAGACCCGCGCCTTTGACGATGGCCATAGACGGATGCTGTGACAGAAGGACCAAATACATGACTGTTCAAAAGAAGAATTCATCAGGGACGCATTAAACTGATCAAAAATGACAGTAAAGACATTTATAATGTTACAACTACAAGTGATTTCTGTTTCAAATAAATGCTGTTCTTTTGAACTTTATAAGGCATTATGATTTCTGCGATGCGGAAAACACAGATGGAATCCAGTCATAAAAATGGAATTTACTGTCTAACACGGAATGTCACGGAATTTGTCAAAGTTTGGATGAATTAATCAAAAGTAGGTCATTACACTTAAATTAAATTGCGATATGGACTAGTATCTGTAAATATTAAGCCGCAAAAAGGCTTTAAATATGAAGCCGGCATGTTCTGCGTCTCTGTGTGAATGAATGACGCGTGGTTTTGTTTACTACACACACACTGAAGCACGCGTGATGCTTGCCGTGATTTTAGCGTGTGCCATCTCTCTGAATGAGGACATAAATACATGAACAACATCCCCAGAACTGCTCTGAGAGTCACTGCATTTTACCCTTTCATTTGAGTAAAACTATCCTCATTTCATACACACAGAAGCATAAAGGTATTCACAGAAACCTGTCAAAATAAAAGTTCGGTTTAACTGGAATAAACTGTGTCAGAGCTTCACTTACACACATGAGAGCACACAGCATGTCTATAGCTGCATGCGTCACGCCGTTGTGGTTTCTCTTCAGTGCTTTAACAGTTTTCACTCCCAACTTCTCTCTAAACCTGCAACACGCCCATAAAATAATTGTTAAAATTAAAATTTGTCATATAAAAATTTATATATCATAGACGACCCAGAAATATAAAATTAAATAAAAAAAGATGCCATTTCTGATAATCCATTGAATATTTGCTTGTTCAATACAAATACTGAATGAATCCTAGATGTATAAATAGTGGACAGGAGCACAAACCAGTCAATTCATACATCTCAGTGACCCAGAAATAAATAAATATGACAGAAAGATTACAGAGAGAGAGAGCAGGCGTAAAGCATTTAAACAAAAGAGGAAACGTACAATGGCAAAACAAATGAAGATTATCTTAAAATGGTTTCAGACTAACCCAAAGGAACTGGGCCTCCAGCTCAGAGTTGGGCCCCGGCAGCTCCACATCTTGAGATAAGAGCGCCAGGATGGCATTGCTGATCAGTTTCTCTTTGTTCTCTGAGAAAAGACCCTAGAAAAGGAACGAGTAGAGGGATGGAGGTCATATGGAGTCAAACACACAGAAATGAAGCTCAGTCGACAGACTCACGTCTTGAGTGACGGCGTGTATTACTCCACTGTAAGAGATGTTGCTGTTAAATCTGAACACTGCATCTGCAAAATTACAATCTACAAGAAAGAACAACAAACAGAACACAGTTACTCGAGTTTACAACCAATGGAAAAAAAAAACTGATTGGAAATGATTTTTTTTATTGGATGGATTCTTTACATTTCACACAAATTAATTAAACTCATATAAAGTAGTTCGTTTTTAGTATGTTTTCATTTTCAAACGTTTTAAATAACAATACAGATTCATCACATCTTCCATTTTTGGGGTCAGTAAGATTTTTTTTGTTTCTGAAAGAAGTCTCTTCTGCTCACCGAGGCTGCATTTATTTGATCAAAAATACAGTAAAAATAGTGAAATATTATTACAGTTTAAAATAGCTGTTTTCTATGTGAATATCTGTTAAACTGTAATGTATTTCTGTGATGCGCAGCTGTATTTTCAGCATCATTACTCCAGTCTTCAGTGTCACATGATCTTCAGAAATCATTCTAATATGCTGATTTGCTGCTCGAGAAACATTTCTGATTATTATCAATGTTGAAAACAGTTGTGCTACACACTATTTTTGTGGAAACTGATACATTTTATTTTTCAGGATTCACAGATGAATAGAAAGTTCAAAAGAACAGCATTTATTTGAAATAGAAATGTTTTATAACATTATAAATGCCTTTACTGTGTCACCTTTGATTAATTTAATGCATCCCTGATTAATAAAAGTATTAATTAAAAAACTTGCTGACCCCAAACTTTTGAATGGTACTGTATATACATATATACACACACATTATCATGGCTAGAACATAACCGCAGCGCTTCTACTATTAACTCCTCTCTGGAGCTGCAGTGATGTTGTATTATGAAACTGATCTAAGGTCTGTTGAAGTTCTCTGTGCTGCTCTCTCAGCAGTGGGTTTTTACTAATATTAGCAGAAAAACAACTATATTGACCAGCGGAGCCAAGAACATGTCATTTATGAGAAATATAAATCTAATGTCCTGCTCCACAGCATTAAAGATCCTGCAGGAGTCAGAGGACAGCATGCAGTGTGATCTGATTCTCCAAACATCATTCACTGTAGATGATGGAAGAACACAGAGTTTAATGTGAGAGGCTTGAGCTGATGGACGCACTGGGAGGAGCAGCGAGGAAGCGCAGGTGCAGGCTCTCCACCTCCTCATCCACAGGCATGCTGAGGAGGCCCCAGCGCTGGCCCCTGTGTGTGGGGGCCATCTTCACACACACGTCCCTGTTCCCCGACGCCCGCACGCTGTCCAGCAGACTCGCCAGCAGAGAGTCCCTGCAGACACACACATCGTCAGACTCTGATATAACCAGCAGAACCACACAGGAGCGTCTGAGATGCTGTACCTTTCTGTGGAGCAGTACTTGCGTATCTGACCGCGGATGAACTCGACGGTGAACACCTGAGGATTGTCTGCGTCACAGATCAGAGCGAACACCTGCACACACACACACACACACACA